GATTTATATTTATTTATTGTCTCAGTACTCGCAAACATTAAAACTAAATGTGTCCTCTGTAGGGTAACTGTAGGGTCTGCTGTATTGTTGAAGGCTGGGATGCGTTGCACAAGTTATTATTAGGCTGAGCTACTCAACTTTATGCCATTGCCCCAGATGTTCCTACATTGCTCCTATTATTTTCACTATTTGGATAAAATTAAAAAAATTAATATAAAAAACAATTTGCTTGCTTGCAACTATTTTCCAAGCAAAGTAAGTGCACGTTTTTATCATGTGTAGCGTTACTGTTTAAACGGCGGATAAAGCAGCTTCATCATGGCAACTTGACAACAGCTAAGCTAAGCTAGGCTAATACTTACAGCATCCAGGTGACTTTTCAGAGTTGTTGTGCCACCGTGGTAGGCCAGTTTCTTATCGCATATTTGGCACACTGCCTTCTTCTTACCGTAGTCCAATTTAAAATGGTCCCACACATCTGAGGTCTTCGGCATTTTGTGTTCAGGTGTGTGAAACGAGGTGAAGCGTGTCGTTTGCGTTCGTGACTGAGTGAACGCGATGTCAGGAGCAGAGGCTGAGATTGTATATATTTCCGCATTTTAACAGTGCAATTCAAAAGTATAAATATAGTATAAGAATATGGCAATTCGCTTTTATTAATAGCATACATTTAGAAAAAAATGGAAAAAAACGAATATCCGAATAATGAAATTGAAACCCGAATAGTTTGCCAACGAACGAATATTCGAATAGTCGAATATTCGGGTACAGCCCTAGTGCATAAGATCCAGGACTTTGAGTGAAATGTTATCCTGTGTATCTGGGGATTGTAGCTTTGTGAGTAACTATTTTCTGCTTCTGGAGAAATTGCTGACGAGCAGAGTTTCTTTGAAAAGCAACAGTGTAAACCGAGTTGTTTTTGTTTCAAGGCCACTTCAGTCAAGAAATACAGAATATATACAAAATAAACAGTAGCTGAAGCCCTCAAGCTGGCAGAAATATGCAGTCTGGTTTATCGGAGAGACCTAAAAATAAAGGATTTTTTACTTTTCATACTCAAAGGTAACTCAAAGTGCTTCACAAACCAAACACACTCAATTTACAATAACTAAAAACAATACTTATATCAGAGTAACACATAGCTTTGTGATTAAATAGAACACGCAGGACTGAATAAAACAAGAATAAAATAATAATAAAATACAAGAATGATAACACCATGTCTGTTTTTTAATACAGTGTTGAAGGTTGCGTATGTGTTTATACATTTACTGCAAGATTCATAATAAGATACAACAAACCTTTCTCATGGGTGATGTTCCAGTTTTAATCTTCAACGGCAGCTTCATGATCTTCCTCTCCTTCTCATGGGACTCATAGACCTCCACCTAAAACCTAAAAACAGTCATAGAACATGCAGGACTGATCAAAGCAAGAATAAAATAATTATAAAATATTATTTTTAGTTAGTTTGTCTTTTACTGGTATCTGTATTATGTGTGATGCACATTTTCTGTGAAATGTGTATGTGAAGCACTTTGGACTAACAGCTTGCTTTTGTGCTTCTACAGATGCACAGTGAGATGGTGCATGCTGTTCGTGATGGGCCTCATCCTCTGAGACAGCCCCCTATGGGCCCCCCCGCTCACCACCCCATGCAGGGAGCACTTCCCCCGACCACCCACTCCATGCCCCCGTCCCCCTCCAGAATCCCCTTCGGCCCGCGACAGGGCCCCACACCTGGAAGCGCCACCATCCCAAGAGAGCGTCTTCCTAACGCCAGTCCCCGCTCCATCTCCCCGTGTCCCAGCGCCATCCTGGAGAGAAGGGACGTCAAACCGGATGAAGACAGAGGGGGTAAAACCCACAGTTTGTCCAGGGGCAACGAGGGCTTGTACGCGGATCCATACTTGCTCCAAGATGGCAGGATGGCTCACGGACCGCACCCCAATCCTGGTTCTGATGTTCCAGATCATGGCATGGGGGGATTTCACAGAGCCTCCATCCGCTCCACAGGCTCTTACAGCGGGCCGAGTCCCACAGACAGTATGGAGCATCCCTCCCTCTACAGGCAGAAGTCCAGAAACAGCCAGCTTCCAACTCTGGGATCCAAGACTCCCCCGCCATCCCCGCACCGCATGGCTGAGGTACGGATGATTGACATCCATGGAGGACATCCTCATGGCCCGCCTCCTCATGGGATGCCTATTCATGGGATGCCTCCTCATGGGATGCCTCCTCATGGGATGCCTCCTCACGGCATGCCACCTCATGGGATGCCTCCTCATGGCGTTCCACCTCATGGGATGCCACCTCATGGGATGCCCCCTCATGGGATGACACCTCATGGGATGCCTCCTCATGGCGTTCCACCTCATGGGATGCCTCCTCATGGCGTTCCTCCTCATGGCGTTCCCATGGAGAGAAGCTCACCTGTGCGCCAGTCGTTCAGGAAGGAGGAAGTGTCAGGAACCAAGCCTCGAAACAACATGGGATCCCCTGTGGTGTCCGACATCCAGGGCCACCTGCAGGGGCCCATCCCACCTGCCAATGAGCACCACACACGGTAAGGAGGACGAATAGGCTGGTTAAATATAATGTTATTTAGACGTCGCATGGGAGCATGGACTAACTCTGCATCCCAGATTCATCCTAACAACGAGCTGCTGACTGTCCCATCATCCAAAACTATAACCCAGCGTGTGTTGAGCGTCAGGTTCTGCAGACATGATTATGCATCAGTGCGGTTTGTGTGTATAACAAGTTCTGCTTATCTGACCCTTGTTTTCACAGTCTCTGTTGGTTATTACAGAATGTGTAGACCCAGACGTAGCTGCAACCACTGAAACCGTATAGCATCTGGAGACCCCATTAATCCACTGTATATTATTCTGTTACTCTGTGGCTATTGTTCTAACAACAAACCCACTGCAGACGCTTCGGTACCTGGGTTCGGTTTATCCAGTCTGACTGAGAGCACATAAACATAGAAAGATGGATTGTTGCCACTTAGCAGGACAAACGTGGGTTTAACTAAAGGCAGGCTATTTGCTTACCTAGGAAAACCAAAGAAAATATTGACCAGGGTTGAATAAGTATTTGAAATGGCTCAATCAGTCAACGCGATCAGGCCGGACCACCTGGGCAGCCGATGCCCTGGGAGAAGAAAGTGTTGGAGTTTGAGTGGGAAAGTACTGTACTTACCTTTCTAAATAAACATAGTCCCAACATGTGAAATATGCTGAGGTCCGGCCGACCTTTTGTCTGTCCAACCACACCGAGTCCTCAGCTGACCGCCTGTCCTTCCTCAAGATAAACAATCTAAGCTTTCCAACCTGTAGGCTCACCAAGCAATCTGGGTGTTAGTTCTACTCTTCATCCCTCTGGTGTTTGGCTTTCTTTAGGCAGTGTATTTATCCAATTGTCCACTCATGGTCTTCAGGGCGACCACCACTTGTGACAAACACTCGTTTTATTTAAAAAACAAAATGACCCCGTCTCGATCTCAGGGCTTTTCTCTCATCTGGTTTTTTTTCTCCATTTGGACTCAAGCCTCTTTCTGATTGTGGAAAGACTCAAGTCAAGGGGTGCTGCATTGTTGTGATTCAGACACTATTTACTTGATCAATATTTACTCGGGGCATAATTGCAAATCAATTCCACTTTGTTATCCTTTTAAAATCACAAAAAACATCACATTTAATTGATTTAGCTGTGCCTCCATTTCCATTCTGAGCTGATATTTGCTCTGGTGGCAGCTGTGATATCCAATAGGTGATAAAAGTAGAATTTTCTGATGTTTCTGCAGAGTGCGAATGAAGGCTATGGAGCAACAGATTGCCAGCTTGACTGGTCTTGTTCAGCATGCACTTTTAAAGGAGCCAAACACTAGTGGCAGCAAGGAGCTACTAAGGTAAGCATCAACAGCATAGGAACGAGTGAAGCTTCAGGAGAAAACAGCGAGAAAGTATTCCCTCTATAACGGCCATAGGAGGTTAGATAGGTCAAGAGGAACTAGGTCTTAATAGGATAACTGTGTTTGGTTTATCTGGCTGCATTTCAACTATTTGCATCTTCTCTGTAGAGATGTGTTAATGTTTGCTGATGAAGCTTGTTAACATCATTTTAACCTCTCTTGTTTGTCTTTCCCATCAATCTTTGTTGTGTTTGTTCTTACTAATACAAACCTCCAAATGCTGATTTATTTTTGTGTGTGTGTGTTGCCACCAAATTCCTGCTCTTATAAATGTTTCTCTCGGCTGCAGTGAGCGACCCTCGAAGACTTCGTCTCCGGCTCACAGCGCACACAGCTCAGGTTAGCATCTTGATCATTATTCTATTTCATTACTGTTGTTCGTCCTAAGCGCCTTTGTGTCCTGTGCAGACATGCCGACACACCGGAGTCAACCAACAGTCTGTGTTCTGCCCTTACAGCGCGTATCCCTATGCGCTAGCTAGACAGTTAGCTAACATTTAAAAGTCCTCCAATAAAAATTTAAGGTTTTCTTTCTTGATTTTACTGTTCTTCTTTTACTTTGTAAAACTGTAACAATACAAAAAATAAAACACATATAAGTAGCACTGTACAAACGACACATGTACTACGATTAGCAATTAGCTATCATTAGCATCACTAATAGCACAGATCACCATTAGCTAAATTAGCACACATTAAACTAGCTTCAGACCAAAAGTTACAAACTTCAAACATTCTGCACATAACAGATCCAAATTGCACATGAATAACTCACAGACAAATAGTCTCCAAGGCTCAAGCCTCACAGACACGAACACAGTTTACATGACGTCTCTGCTCCATGTGTTGATCTCCGTGCTCGTACAAAGATCCTCGCAAAGCAGAGAGCGCTCACTCTGACACGCCCCCAGCAAACCAACAAACCCAAGGAGCGCCCAAAAAACACGTCCCAACTCCATAAACATAGAAATAGGCAGCACAGTCTGCAATGAACAGGGAAAACCAAGTAGGGCTTCTTTGCTTTTCATTACAATCCCTTCCCCTGTACACCCAGTTTAATAGAGCAGAGCTAACACAAGCTCCTTAAAGCGCTACTTAAAGCAAGACGCTATTACTCCTTATCCTGCCAAGATCTCTGCTCTCTAGGGGTCTGTGGCCAGATCAACGCTTGATTTAAAAAAAGACCTGCAACCTCCCCACGAGCAGAACGAACACACAACATTATTCACAGAGCTAATCTCTCTTCTCGTGACACGCGTAATGTGTAGCTTTCACAGGGATTTACTTCATGTCATGTTGTGCTTGGAGCAAAACATCATAACAGTTACAGTGAGGGCTTTGATTCCTGTTGACGTCAAACATGATGGACACTGTGTCCCTGAACACTCGCAGCAGTGTTCACTGTAACCTGTCCTTCAGGTCTAGGCAGCTGTCAGGGACTCTGTAAGGAATATGTTGTGAAAAGAGTTTTGGGATTATAAAGACAAAAGATTGTTCTTCTACTTCACCAACAGAGGGAGAGTCAGGGGAGCTTAGAGTGCTTTCTGAACATGCCCTGACCTTTTCTGTAACTCACTTTACTTTAATGGAACCCATGTTTCTGAAGGCAACGGATTGGTTCTCTCAAATTACAAAACAAATATTTTGACGCCACTAGTGTTACAAAGCCAAGCACGTAGTATTGGTTGCATTCACCCACGCTGAATGACTTTTCATTTGTGGTTCTCACAGCATCAGTGTTTCCCATACATTGATTTATTTGTGACGGGCCGCCACAATTAAATATCGTCCGCCACAAATGGATGTCATAAATTTTTTTATTATTATTATTATTATTATTATTATTATTATTATTATTATTATTATTATTATTATTATTATTAT